AGAACCCGAAGCGTCACCGGCTGACGCGGAGGCTGCCGCGCCTGCTGGATCATCGGCCCCAGCACCTGAGGTGCAAGCCGCCGGCCCTGTTCTCGGCCACTCGAGCACTGTTTCCTTCGCCCGAACTGTGTCGCATGACATCAACTTCCACGATGACGAGGATGCCGACTGGAACCTCTCCCGAACCGACACGGACCCCTTCAAGTTCATGCCTCCCTCTGACAGGACCAACTCGTTCCCGGTCGTCCCCCCAGCGAGCCCGCCCGGCGCGTCGGCAGGGACTCAACCGCTTCCCGCGACCGAGGCCCAACATGTAATTCAGGCGACGGAGCAGCACCAGGACGACCTTGACGCTCCTCTGTCTGAACGAGCAATCTCTCCAGCCCACCCTCACTTTGCCGACGACCCGTCTGACACGCCTCATATCAACGGTTACTCGGAGCAAGCGCGGTATGTAGGACGCGACATGACGGACGCCGATGAGGACGATGTCGGTTCGCGATTCGAGGAAGGCCTGCCTCTCATTCCTCGCGCGCCCGAGCACACGGAGACTGCCGCCTCAGCCTCCTTCTTCGACCACGAAGCCTCGGCCGACGACGACTTTTTCAGCCATGTGCAGGATGCTGGCCACGATGATACGCCGCCCACGCTGGAGCGCAAGTCAACGATGCAGGTACTCGGTGCCTTTGGCACGAACCCACTGTCGCGAGCGGATACGCTGGAAGGGATGGCCGAGGAGGATGAGCATCAAGCGACGCCGTCGCAGGCTTTGGCTACAGAGGACGACTCCAGCAAGCCCGCTCCTGAGGATCTGGCCGCCAAATGGCAAGAGGCATTCGCCGGAGACGACGATGATGAATTCCTGCTCGACGACAACGCTGGCGACTCGAAGCCAGTTGATCCCGCCGCATTCTTTGGCAGTGATGACGAAGGTTTCTTGGACGACGACGACGACGACGAGACCACGGCATCCGCGCCGGCTGTGCAGCCACCCAGTCTGCCAGCCGCTCAACAGCAAAGCCTGCAAGGACGATATACGCCGCAGAGCCCATCTTTCCCGTTTCCCAAGGCTGCCGCCACCCCGTCGCCTTACGTTCCTGTGGCGGCGGCGCCGCCCCAGACGCCTACATCAGCATATGCGCCTTCGCCTGTGGTCACTTCATTCCCAGCCCCAACGTCGTACGCTGCTCAGTCCCAGCCCTCGCCCATCCAAGCTGCATATGGCATGCCGCCGCCCCCGCGTCCCGAGGCATCCAAAGCCCAGAGCTTCGCCGACAAGAACAAGGGCGGCTACACCTCGCCCTACGACTTGCCCATGGATGTCAAGCCGCGCAAGCGAGCCAGTATGCAACAGCTGCCGAGAGCTCAGGTGCAAGCCCCCCCCGTGCAGCTACCGCCCAGAAGCTCCAGCATGTACGCCCCAAGCCCGACCAGCTCCGCACCACCGTCTGCCGGCTTGCCTCCTCCAGCCCTGCGTGCTCTTCCCAGCCCAGGCACGGCGGGAACAGGTGCTGGGCCGAAGCCTCGGCGCTGTCACTCCGAGCAAGAGAACTTTT